GACAGCCTGTCAGTATCGTCTCATGCAGCTCACTGATCCAGTAATGAGTGACCCGACAGTGAAGAATAAACATATTTATAACTAGTTTAGCTTGTTCCAGAGGTAGATAAAATAGCTAAGTGTGTTAGGTCTAACTCTTAGTGTGTTCTGCTCCGCTCACCGGTCCGTCACAGCGGGTGGAGCTGCAGGATTTCTGCTTCACACACGTTGCTTACCGCTATTTTACTGTCATTTTCGGACACCTTAAAATACTGCCAGACTGGTGAAGCCATTTTGGCGAGCTTGTTTTGCCGCGTACAGAGAAAAGTGTCATGTATTTTACGTCATGCGATCGGCATTTTTAGAGAGCCCCGATCGATCGGCAGAGAGTGGGTATCGGCCGATATAGCATCCCTAATGATTGCTTTAAATTGTAATTTTAAGTCAAATATAGAATGCAGGTTGTTTTACTACACTGTGGTATTACTCTTACTTTAAAACACGAAGATGTACCGTGTTTTTTTTAAACCCTTTTTTTTAAAGATATCTGGCTCGTTATCGCTTTTAAAAAGACAGCAGGATTACAGTGTTGTTGACTGTGATGATGAAATGTGAAATATAATGGTTTGTTATTGTTTTTTTCCAGGCATGAGTCCTACACCAATCAGTATCCAGGCCAAGGAGCGCCCCCTGGTGGCCCGTACCCCAATCAGCAGCCAGGAATGTATCCTCAGCAGCAGCCGGTGAGAACATTTTGTTCAGCGCTCTTATTCCAGCTTATTTATCCTTATATTTAACTATAAATGCGTCAAATTAGATTAGATTAGATTCCTTAATTGTCACTACACAGAGTACGGCGAAATTCCAAGCATTCCCGATGGTGCAATCACACATAACATACAGTATGAGTATCATGTTGACAATACAAGCTAAAACTTTTAAATATATAATATATGAAGTGACTATAAATTGGACCTATGATACATTGAACACTACGCTTACAAAACAATACAACATTACCAGAACAATACGGTCAACGCACACTTACCTACCTGTGTTTGCATCCTATTGAACAGAGGCAGGCCATACATAGTTTGATCTTACGTAAAGAGGCACAAAAAAAACAGAATTGCTTCTTTATTTGGAATAAATCCTTGAGATGTACCATCTGGTTTCAAGGGGTGTCCAATAGAGAATACGATTATTATTCAATATAAGCACAATTTAGAGAAAATAATTACAACATAATCAGACGGAACAAATGTGTTAAGCCATAATTATTGTATTATTGATTAAGATACTCAAGTAGGGACATTCTTTAAAGGTCCCCTATCATGCAAAAGTCACTTTTTTATGTCTTTTATACATAAAGATGTGTCCCCGGTGTGTCGGGGAACTCACGCAGCGTCAGAAAATAAAACCCTCTCTCTTTCCTCCGTACCCAAATCTCCTAAAAAACGGGGGGGGGAACAACGGAGCTGATCCAGATTTGCGTCCGATATGACGTAATATCTGAAATGTGGACCCACGGGCCTATCAGAAACGTTGCTATCAGAAACAATGCCCGACTGTTTTGGACGTAATATGGTCGGTGTTTACATTAGCATCGCTAACACTCAGAGCTAACCTGTACTGGAGAGCATGTGTGTGAAGAAGCAGGAAATAAAAAGGAACTCACCTTGTGGTATAACCGGCAAGAGAGAAAGCCTTTGAGCTCCATACTGTTTCAGAGATAATCCTTGATAATCCATGATATGGCGTTTCATCACGGCAGCATTTAGTTTAGACAGTAGCTGCTGGGTCCCGCATGAGCTCAGCCCCCTCCTTTTTTATTTTGTATACATTTTAAAAAAATGTTAAGCTTTATACCCCAAATCAGCACTTTAGAAACAGGAAGTGAAATAGAGGGATATGAGGCATGGCTAGAATGGGTGATAGGTGACCTTTAATAAAAGAGATGAACCATCTGGTTTCAACGGGGGTCCTTAAAGATTTTATACAATCACAATTTGGCAAAATAAAAATAAACTAAGTAAAACATGAAAATGTAATTAGAAAATGATATAGAAAAAAGATTAATGTCATGTCCTTGATGGCATTAAGCAATACAGTTATTAAACCAAATGATGCAGGTGTTTTTTTATTATGGAAATGGAGTAAACATATCATAAAAAAGGTATTTTCTGTTTGTGTAAAGACAATATGGATCAGATGCACGTCTTCAGACTGAGAACCCACCTGTTTGACTTCGTCATTAAAACATTTTTTTTTCAATTTTTAATGACTGTTTTGTTTTTTTCCTCACAGAACTACAAGCGTCCAGTAGACGGGGGTTACGGCCCTCCTGCGAAGCGCCACGAGGGGGAAATGTACAACTACAGCGGTCAGCCGGGCCCCCAGCCCTCGGGGCCCCCGGGCCAACAGGAGATGTACAACCAGTACAACGCGTATCCTGGAGGAGAACGAAGACCCCCAGGTCCCCAGAACCAGTTCCCTTTCCCCTTCGGACGAGAGCGTGTCCCCTCGTCTTCAGGGCCAAACTCCCAGTCTCCCATGCCTCCTCAGATGATGGCGAGCGCCATGCCATCGGGCCCCGAAGGCCCCCAGGGTCCCATGTGGCAGGGACGCAACGAAATGGGTTATAATTACCCAAACCGACAAGGAGCGGGTCAAAACCCCGGGTATCACGGCATGAATCGCTCAGAGGAAATGATGCCAGGGGACCAACGGATGAATCACGATGGTGGTCAGTGGCCGGGTCATCAGAGGCAGCCTCCTTTTGGCCCCGGGGGCTCCGGACCCCCCATGACACGCCCCCTACCGTCCACCTATCAGACCTCTCAGAACCACATTCCTCAGGGAAGCAGTCCAACGCCAATGCCACGACCCATGGAGAGTAGGACGTCGCCAAGCAAGTCTCCGTACATGCACCCGGGCATCAAAGTACAGAAAGCAGGACCCCCGATACCCGCCTCTCACATTGGACACGCCCCCGTTCAGCAGCCGATGATCCGGAGAGACGTGGCTTTCCCCCCCGGATCTGTGGAAGCATCGCAGCCACATCTGAAGCCCCGAAGGAGACTCACCGTCAAAGAAATCGGTACTGAGTTTATTTACATCTAAGTCATTGTTAATGATAAATTATAATAATAATACAAAACAGGTTTTAAAGGTCTCCTATCATGCAAAATGCACTTTTTAATTCCCATTTTACATAAACATGTGTCCCCGGTGTGTCAGAAAACAAAACCCTCTCTCTTTTCCTCCGTACCCACATCTCTAAAAACGGGGCTACAACGGAGCTGATCCAGATTTGCGTCCGATATGACGTAATATCTGAAATGTGGGCGGGCTTTAGACCCACGGCCCTATCAGAAACGTTGCTGTCAGAAACAATGCCTGACGTGTTTTGGACGTAATATGGTCTTTGTTTACATTAGCAAGCATCGCTAACACTCAGAGCTAACCTGTACTGGAGAGAGCATGTGTGATCAGCACTTTAGTAACAGGGCTGAAATAGAGGGATATGAGGGATTTCTAAAATGCATGATCTGTTTGGTATTTTGAGCAAAACACATCATAGACATGTTTTTTATATAAATGTCCTGAGCTTTAAGAGTATATCTTATTCATTCCTCTCTTTCCACAGGCACTCCTGAGGCCTGGAGAGTGATGATGTCTCTAAAGTCAGGATTACTGGCTGAGAGCACCTGGGCTCTGGACACCATCAACATCCTGCTGTACGACGACAACAGCATCACTACTTTCAACCTGTGCCAGGTACGCTACTCACACACACACACACACTCACTCACTCATTTGAAAAACACACACAGACACACACTAACACACACACACACACACCACACACACACACACACACACACACACACACACACACACACACACAGACAGACACATACTCACGCTCATACACACAGTCCGACTCAGACTCACGCTCACAGACACGCACACACACACTCACTCACTCACTCACTCACTCACTCACTCAGACAGACTCTCACAAACTCGAAAAACACACACAGACACACACACACACACACACACACACACACACACACACACACACACACACACACACACACACACACACACACACACACACACACACAGACAGACAGACAGACAGACAGACAGACAGACAAATACTCACGCTCATACACACAGTCCGACTCAGACTCACGCTCACAGACAGACACACACACACTCACTCACTCACTCAGACTCTCACAAACTCGAAAAACACACACAGACACACATTATCACTCACACACAGACACACACACTCACTCACTCACTCACTCTCACACACACACACACACACACACAGAATGTGAAATACAATTAATATAGATACAAACACAACAATACAAATACAATGAAAACCATACAATTAAATACCATAAAATGTAGGACTCTGGCTTGTATATATTTTGTTGTTTAATACACACACACACACACACACACACACGCACACACACACACACACACACACACACACACACGCACTGTATTCAGGACGGTGCACATGCAATACACACACAGTTATACACACTATACAGACATGCTGGTGCCTTTCCATTTAGTGCTTTTGTAGTTGAGGGCAGTTTCGCAGTGAGTTTATAGTTGGTTTCTTTCTGCTCCTCAGCTGCCGGGCTTCCTGGAGCTGGTGGTGGAATATTTCAGACGCTGCCTCATCGAGATCTTCGGCATCTTAAAGGAGTACGAAGTGGGCGACCCCGGCCAGCGAACGCTCATCGACCCAAACGCCGCCGAGGACCACGTGGACGAAAACCCAATCTCCGAGGAAATGGACGTGGACGAAGAAGACGAGGAAGACGAGGACGAGGAGGAGGAGGAGGCGGCGGAAGTCGTCGTTCCCTCGTCGCTGGTTCAGGTGAAGCTGGAGGAGAAACAGCCGTCTTCAGAGGACGAGGAAGAGGAGAAAGACTCGCCTGTTAAAGAACCCGTCACTTTGTCACTTCACTCTGACTCGGAAAAGCCGAAACAGGCGAGTAAATTCGACAAACTCCCGCTCAAAGTGGTGCGAAAGAGAAACCCCTTCCTGCTGAATCTGGCGTCTTTGCAGAGGCAGAGTTTCGACAGTGGATTGACGCACTGGAGCATCGGCGGAGGAGACACGACGGAGCACATCCAGACACACTTCGAGAGCCGATCAGACATCCTGAAGCTGCGGAAACGCAAACCCACGACGAACAGCGAGAACCGCAAGAAGGTGGGGACGAGAGACGAGTCGGAAAACACGGAGAAACCGCCGCCTACTCTTATTCCTCCCGTCACCGCAACTATCGACGACGTCCTTTCCGCTCGACCTGGATCCGTCACGGAAGAAGTGGTTCGAGGAGGCGCCGAAGAGCAGAAAGAAAACGGGAAATATCTGTTCAGTATTAACCCCGAAATGCAGAGTCGTCGCAACATCAAGATCCTGGAAGACGAGCCTCACAGCAAAGACGAGAGGCCGCTCAGCTCCTTGTCCGACTGGCAGGATTCGCTTTCTCGCCGCTCCATCTGCATCTCAAACATCGTGCGGAGCCTCTCTTTCGTGCCGGGAAACGACCTGGAGATGTCGAATCACCCGGGCCTCCTGCTGCTGTTGGGCCGCCTCGTGCTGCTGCACCACAGGCACCCCGAGAGGAAGCAGGCGCCCGTTACCTACGAGAAGGAGGAAGAGGAGGATGAAGGAGTGAGCTGTGAACGGGACGAGTGGTGGTGGGACTGCCTGGAGGTTTGTGGAAGAATTATTAACGTACTTTAATACATTAGCGTGGGTATTCATTTATGAGGGTAATGGTTCAAGGCTTTTATTGTCATGTGTTCATAGCTACAGTGTAGTTGGGTCACAGGCTCCTCCAACAGAGCAACACAATAAAACAGATACAATAGAGAGGCGAAGTCCCGCCCATCTACTTACGACCTCATGGGACCTTATTTCGGAAAAAGTATGTATTGAAGTCAATGGGGAGAGAAAGATTATCTCTTGATCCTGTTTGAATTGTGCCATGAATTACACATATGATGTTTGTCAATCTTAAATAATAATTTCCATGTCAAAAAAGTCACAGTTTGTCGTAAAACTGTTGAAATATAAGACTATGAAAAATACGCAACTAGAAAGACTACAAATCCCAGAGTCCCGGTCCCGCATGCTGGCTCTTAGGAACCGACTAACTCCCCTTGTGTGTATGTACAGCTCTCAACATGCCCAGACTTGGAGTGATTTTCACCTCTTTTAATACTTTCCGCCTCATTCTGAAAGAAAGAAGTGAAATGTGCCAACGTGACGGCCGTCTTGGTGTGTGGTGCGAGACGGAAGATGGAGTTTATTGAGCGGTTTCACACAAAAAAAGTGCTACTTCACAGTTTTACGACACAATTGTATTTTTTTGACTTGCAAAATTATCTTTTAAATTGACAAACATCATATGTGTAATTCGTGGCACAATTCAAACGGGATCCAAAGATACGTTTTCTCTCTCCATTGACTTCAATACATACTTTTTCAGAAATAAGGTCCCATGGAGGAAAGGGAGGGACTTCGCCTCTCTATAGTGCAAGTAAATAGAATATAATAGAAATAGTGCAAAACAGTCTATATACAAGTAATTGGATTAATAATAATACATTGGATTTTTATAGCGCTTTTCCTGGTGCTCAAAGACGCTTTACATAAAAACAGAAACAGTACAAAGAAAACAATACACCTCAGAGGGAAGATATGTAAGGCAAGTGTATTCACGTAGCACCATTAGTGTGGGTATTCATTTATAATAATAATACATTTTGTTATAGTTGGTATCTACCATAGTATCTACATGGAGATAAGCCCCGCCTCCTCGCCAGTGCGTCTTGTTTGAATGACAGCTGACAGACGCAGTGAAATTTGAGCGATGCGATTACGTTAACACAACGTTTTAAATCAGCGTACAGCATTCACACCGCAATATCTATTTTTAAACGTTTTTTTTTTTCTTTTTTGTCTCCACAGGTTCTGCGTGAGAACTGCCTTGTGACGCTCTCCAACATCTCGGGCCAGCTGGACCTCTCAGTTTACCCAGAAAGCATCTGTTTGCCTCTGCTGGACGGCCTGCTCCATTGGGCCGTCTGTCCGTCAGCCGAAGCTCTCGATCCCTTCCCGACTTTAGGACCCCTCGCCTCTCTTTCTCCGCAGAGACTCGTCCTGGAAACTCTCAGCAAACTCAGCATCCAGGACAACAACGTGGATCTCATCTTGGCCACGCCTCCTTTCAGCCGCCTGGAGAAACTCTACGGATCGTTGGTTCGCTTAGTCGGCGAGCGAAAAGTACCCCGTGTGTCGAGAAATGGCCGTTGTGCTTCTGGCTAACTTGGCGCGGGGAGATAGCTTAGCGGCGCGGGCTATCGCGGTGCAGAAAGCCAGCGTGGGGAATCTTCTGGGTTTCCTGGAGGACAGTCTGGCCGCCACTCAGTACCAGCAGCAGAACCAGGGCTCCATGATGCAAACGGGTCATCAGTACGAGCCCACCAGCGTGGACATGATGCGGCGAGCGGCCCGAGCGCTACACGCCCTCGCGAAGGTGGAGGAAAACCACTCAGAGTTCACTTTGTTCGAGTCGAGGCTACTGGACGTCTCCGTTTCCCCCCTCATGAACTCCACCGTTACCCAGGTGATCTGTGACGTACTTTTCCTGATCGGACAGTCATGACAGCCATGGGGAGGTTTCCGTTCTGCCTCTCGCTCCCCGACTTCCTCCTCCTCAAACAACAACAACAACCCCTTTTTGTTCGGTGTGTCTGTTGCGAGTGAAAAAGAGCAAAACTGACTTTTTGTTTGTCGTTTTTTTTTTTTTATTTATGCAAAATCACCTCGGATTCCACTGTCTGTTTTTTCTGCCTCCTCCCCCCCTTTCACCTCCTCCTCCCCCCCCCCCCCCCCCCCCCCCCTTCCCCCTTCTCCTCCTGCTTCTCACTAAAAAGGAAGGAATATCATGAAGTAGCTGTGGATTTTCTGAAAAAGAGCAGAAATCAACATCGGGACATATAGGACGCGACGGGGGGAGGGGGGGGGGGGGAATAAAGGACTTTGTTTTTTAATGAAAAGATATAAAAAAAACTCCAGAAAAAAAAAAAAAACTGTAACCAAAGTTGCTGTCTCGTTTACAGTGAATTTGGGGGGGTCGGCAGAGGGGGGGGGGGGGTGCACGGACTAAACGATATTATGGACTGTGGTGTTGCTGTAAAACTCTGGATGCTATATTTACTCCACAGGAGAGAAACCACACTATTGGCTGCCATGGGGAGGCCTGTGCAGTAGATTGTAGGACTTTTTTCTGTACTGTACCTTTAAGAACTGTAAACATACTGTAATAATAATAATACTGTTTCACACTGAGATACGCTGGCTTGGCAGCAAACTGTAGTTTTTAAAAGACAGTTTTAGTTATTATTAAAGAGAGAAAAACAACGGCTTTCCCCCCAAAGTTTGGTGAACCTACAACACCCCGACCTCTTTACTCTTTGTCCCTTGATTGTATGACTTGACCCTTATATTGAAAAAGTCACTTCTCTAGGACTCGATGCTAGATGCAGTCCGAGCTGCGTGTAAATATGATGTTGTACATTACACCTCTCTATCTTTCTTCTTCTGTTGCTCTTCACCGTTTTTAATCTTTGACGAGTTTCCCCCTCCCCTCTTTGCATCAAGTCATGTGATTACTTGACTTCCTCCTCCTCCTCCTCTTCCTCCTCAACAGACTGGGTTTTAGAGAAATATAACAAAAATCATGATCCATTTGAGCTCCTCCCACAAAATGACAACCTTGATGAAGAAACCATTTTTAATTTGTTTTGTTTATTTTTTTATTTTTTATTTCTTTCTCCAGTGATGCGGATTCTGCATATTTGTATTTCAGATGATGTAGCTAAAAACTTGATGTAAATTCCTCCCTTTTCCCCCTTTTTTTTGGCTTAATGAATATCATTTATTCAGTATGAAATCTTTATACTATATGTTCCACGTGTTAAGAATAAATGTACATTAAATCTTCGTAAGACGTTTGCTGTGGATTCATTTATTTTTCAACCATCACACACACACACACACACACACACCATGTATACATCACTCCAGGGGACATTACATTGACTTACATGCATTCCCTGAGACTTATACTAACCATAACCATAACCAACACATGCCTAACCCTAACCAAGTCTTCACCCTAAAATTAATTAAATTAAAATGTATGTCCCCATAAGGGAGGCGAGTCCCCACACGTGACTGTGTAAACAGATGATGGTCCCCACAAGGGTAGTAATGCTAGGACACACACACACACACACACTGCTCTTATTAAATGCACGTTCATGTTTCCATCTGTGCATTGAAGGATGCTCATATTTATATATATATTTAACTATCATACATACAGATAACCTTCATGTTCTGTTTGAATGTTTTTTGCAGATTTAATGGGATATTGTGACCATGGCTGCAACTTAAGTGTTTTTATTATCAATTAATATGCAGATTATTTTTTATAGATTCATTGAATAATAATCTTGGTCTGTAAAATCTCACAAAAAGTCAAATGTGATATATTGAAATGCTTTTGTCAGTCCATATCCTTTTAATATTCAGTGTATGGTAATATAAACGGAGAATGCAGGACATATCCATATTGGAGAGGCAGAAAACATCATTTTTTGACAATTCTTGCATTATAAACTCCATGTTTTGTTAATTTAAACCCACTTTATTATGATATTAAAGGAAGAAAAGCAAGATTTTTTTTATTGAAATGCTTAGAACAGCATTGTCTGACATCTTTGCATTTAAATGTCCTCAAATGATTAAGTGTTTGTGATCAAGAGTCAAAATACTTGCAATTGTTTAGTGTTTTCTGCAGCTCTTATTGTGAAATGACCCTACTTTCAAGTCCCAGCTGATTTCTTTAAATATCTTGTCAGCCTACAACACAACAATAATCAGTTTTTAATTATATATTAAATGGAGAAAAGTCTCCATATTGGAAAGACTGAAAAAATCATTCATTAAAATATTTTGCGTAAAAAACGACTTAAATTAAATGTTTATCATAAAATATTGCCAATTATTTTTTGATGCTCTTATTGTGAAAGAACCTTACTTTTAAGAGCAATCAGGGAGATATACTAGCTTATAAAACATACTCATAATACATCTTAATGTAATAAGCTGCAAGTAAACAATCAAACATCTGTGGTCTAATTTTTATTTAACTCTTTATTAGCTCAAAGTGAACCAATGTGTCTTTTCCAGCAGACCAAAGTCGAAGGAGGTTTATTTAAAACTCCAAATACTCCGTTTATTATGATATAAAACAGAGGGCTTGGGCTCTCTCTTTCTACTCTGAAGCAATGGCGCCCTCTTGTGGTCACCGCAGCACATTACATCAGAAAATGCATCGTAACTACGGCAGTTAAACACTTTTAGAGTCTTTAACCCTCCTGTTGTCTTCGGGTCAAATCTGACCGATTTATTACTTTCATCAATCATAACTTTTTTGTTTTACATTAGATTGCATTAAGGCTTTATGATATCCTTCACAGTAGACATTTGAACATATACAATTGCTGATCACCACTTTCATTGAATTTTGGATGATTGAGTCAACTTTGAAACACCAATGGTGTTCCCGGTCAAAAATGACCGCCATAAAGACAAGGAATTAGTAACCATCCGGACGACGAAGACAATAGGAGGGTTTAAACAAACTTGAACAAATGTATATTCATACAAACTTTACTGCATGACGGGGAATGTATTCAACATGTATGTGGTATTTATTTTTCGGCGTATTCTCTTCCGGCTGCAGATAGAGACCCACGTCTTGACTTTTCCATCCGCATGGTTGCTAATAGTAAAGAGCATTTGATTAACTATTTGTGAACCTGTTGAACATGAGAGGTCACTGTTTGTTCAGTGATGTGGAGGAGAAACAAAAACCCTCTTTCCCCACACTATATAAGAGATGTAAAACAGGGGCAGAAAGAGATTATTCTCTTACTACTTTAGGATCCTTTTGCAGGCGACTCTTAGTACAATTTATATTACATGCAGTTGAGCAAGATTAACTGTTACATTTTAAATACTTAATAGTTAATATAAATTGAGGCATATTGTTCTACTTATTTATGTGTAATGTATTAATCTATTAGTTCAAAATAAAACGATAATATAACTTTTTGTCACTTAAAATCCTATACAATCAAAGCGTGAACTATCTTGACGTAGTCCAATATCTTTGATCAAACGCGTGACGTGTTACGTTACAGAAAGTGTGGGCTGGGCTCTAAAAAAAAGTATAATAGAGAGACTTTAATATAATATTAGGTTTCATTACAAGTTAAAAACCCCAAATCATTTTGTTTCGGGAGATGCAACACAGCTTTTCTGATAGGATGTGAACTTTCTTGATCGAGTTAAACATCTTTGTCGTAACGCACAACATATTACGGTACCGGAAGTGTAGGCACCATCTTGACGTAGTCCAATATCTTTGACTAAACGCATCACGTTTAATAGAAGTGTGGGCCCTGATAAAAACAACAAACTGGGTCAGTGACAGTGAGACACTTTGAAAATCAAATATATATTATATTTCAAGTTTCAAGACACTTGAAACCCAAAACAATTTAGTTTCGGGTAGTACAACAAAGCGCTAGTGTTAGACTGTGAACTATCTTGGCTGAGTTTGTTGTAACCCTTGATGTATTACGTTTTTAGACGTGTTGGGTCTAATAAAAAGAAACACTTTTCAGTGAGAAACAATTGCAATAAAAAATAATATATTTTATTTCAACTTTCATTCCATATTCAATAAACCAACATTTGCTTTACGAGGTTCAACAAAGCGTTTCCGGTAGGATGTGAACTATCTTGATTCAGTCGTCACATCTTTGTCGTAAAGCATGACGCGCTACGTTTCCATACGTGTGGGCTGTAATACAAATAATAATAATACTCTGGGTCAGTCAGTGAGAAACAAATAGTAATAAGAGCCAGTTGAAGAAAAACATTTTATTTTATTTCAAGTTTCATGACATTTTCAGAAACCTGAGGTAATTTAGTTCAGGCGGTAAAACACAGCGTTTCTGGTAGGATGTGAACTATCTTGGTTGAGTTGAATATCTTTGTCGTATAGCATGACGCGCTACGTTTCCATAAGTGTGGGCTGTAATACAAATAATAATAATACTCTGGGTCAGTCAGTGAGAAACGAATAGCAATAAGAGCCAGTTGAATAAGAACATTGATTGTATTTCAAGTTTTGTGACAGTTTCAGAAACCTGAGCTAATTTAGCTTCAGGCGGTAAAACACATCGTTTCTGGTAGGATGTGAACTCTCTTGGTTGAGTTGAATATCTTTGTCATATAGCATGACGCGCTACGTTTCCATAAGTGTGGGCTGTAATCATTTATACAGTCTATGGCTGTAATACAAATAATAATAATAATACTCTGGGCCAGTCAGTGAGAAACGAATAGCAATAAGAACCTTTTGAAGAAAAACATTTGATTTTATTTCAAGTTTCGTGACAGTTTCAGAAACCTGAGCTAATTTAGCGTCAGGCGGTAAAACACAGCGTTTCTGGTAGGATGTGAACTATCTTGGTTGAGTTGAATATCTTTGTTGTAACCCGTGACGTTTCCTGAAGTAACAAACGGGGCCAATCCAACTGTCTAAATCAGGGGTTTTCAAAGTGTGGGAAGGTGAGCCTCCCCTCAGAGAACATAAGAACAGCCGCGCCCCCCCCTCCCAATTATTATTGCTATTATTATTATTATTATTATTATTATTATTATTGTTGTTGTTGCTATAATGCAGGAGTATTCAATTGCATTTCAAAGAGGTCCAGTAAGAGAAAATGTCATTAAATGTCATTAAATGCTCTGTTTTCGCTGTCTACCTTTCGCCATTTGAAATTACTCCGACTGTTTCTCTCCTCTTGTGTGTGTTTGAATCTATCGTGCTGACTCACTGACTGCACCGATTTGATTGGCTGAGTAGCGTCCCCTCCTTAAAACATTAAACAATAACTTTTTTAAACCTTTGTATCTTTATGTTTTAAACATATTGTATAAAACTCCCCCACTACTTGGACTATTCCTTGCACCCCTCTAGAATAAGCCCGACTGGTCTCAACCATATTGCATCAGTAACGTACACTTGTTCTTACAAGATCGCAAGGACACTGGTAGTGATCGGACAATTGAGTGTTGTTCAGTTTGTGTGTTGTGGAACATGCGTGTGCGTGCCTGAAAATATACCGCACACCCAATTACAATTGCATGTTCAATTCACTACCTTGGAAGTTAATAAAGTTGTTAAAGTTGGAACAGCCTGTGGACAGCCGTTCTTCCTTGCATGTCAGTCGCCGACACCTTCTTACAGAGGACAGGCAAATCTAGCTGCAGCACGACCCGTATATTTTCGCACGGTGTTCTCAACACATATTTTCTTTTAACATTTTTAACATTTTCAACATCGTGGATATATATATGCTTATATGCTCCCGGCAACACACTGAACGTCAACTTTGCCTCCTTATTACACTCACCCCTACTTTAGTGGGAACAATGAGTCTGCGTCTTTGATGCTCGCAGGAATAAACGCAGATCATCCTCTGGCTGCAGCCTTGACCGGTACTTGCTTTTGATCAAAGTCAATGCGGAAAACCCCCACTCACACAGGTAGGTGGAGGTGAAGGGAATGAGCACTGTTACAGCCTTTTTGGCGAGGTGGGGGAACTCGGTCTCCACAGACAGCCAAAAGTGGGCAAGTGTCACTTTATTAATCTTTTTCTCGTTCTTTTTTTCCTCACGCTGCGCCTCCCCTGAAGCTCTCTGGCGCCCCCCAGGGGAGGCGCGCCTCACACTTTGAAAACCGCTGGTCTAAATCATTTGTATCGCACTGTTATTTTTCGATAACAAAACAGTTTAGTACAATTTGACGGATCATTTTTTATTAACTTTAAATATAATATTCATTTGAAATTAAACAAGCCTTTTTGTTACTGCAAACCGTATATGACTAAAGAGAGAACTATCTTGACGTAGTCCAATATCTTTGACTAAACACATTACGTTTCAGGAAGTGTGGGCTGTCATCAAAAGAAACACACTGGGCCAGTCATTGAGGAAACTATTGCAATAAGGAGCCTTTATGCAGACAATTATATTTTTTCATGACATTTTCAGTAACCTTGGGAGTCTATTCTTCTGAGTTTAGTGAAGCTGCATCAAAACAACGCACTCTAACTGCACACAAGTGTTGAATTAGACACATTGGATAGTACCAGCTGCAAAAACCAGCGCTGTTTTTTTTGTAGTGTTTTTCTCTTTGCACTGCAGCTTAACACATATTTGTGATTTCATCTCTTGATGTTTTAGCTCCAGACTGCTTTCCAATTCTCTGCCTTGCTTGTGATGTCGTGGCAGTAAAACACCTGCATCCTCTTTGTCTGTGCATGTGATTATGCACGATAAACACGGATATCCTCTTCTTGCTCCATTAAATCACAATACGAGTGTCAATTAAGCCGGGTGACGTCACTTCACACCTTCTGGGAGTCATCTGAAGATGGAGGATGAGATGTTTGATCAGATTGTGGCCGTGTTTCACAGCCTGGTAACTTGGGTGGCTGCTGGTGCCATGGTTTTCGGGGGATTGGTGCCCTACATCCCGCAATACAGAGACATCCGCCGGACCCAAAACGCTGAGGGCTTCTCCACATATGTGTGCCTGGTCCTTCTGGTGGCTAACATCCTCAGGATACTCTTCAGGTAATGCACAATGTCCCCCTTTCCCTTGTCTGCTGTGTGGTCACCAAACTCCATTGGAAAATCTGCATATTTAACACTTTTTTGCTTATAAATTGAAAAATATACTTAATATAACACAAGTTGGGATGTTTCAAGAGTCAGTTGGATATGTTCTATAACTCGGCTCAAAAGAGATGGTCTTACAAGCTTTGTTTACATTGCACAGCTGCTGTTAAATTGGATGCAAACCTGCATTAAAAAATCTGCATATTTAATACTTTTTCGCCGATTAATCTAACTGTATACTTAATAGATCAACATTTTGGTTTTAGTAAGGGTCACTGGGATAGTTAGTATTATTCGGCTTGAAAAAGATGGTCCTTAAAGCCTCTTTTCCATTGAGCAGCAGCTGTTGAATTGGATGCAAACCTCCTTTTGAACATCTGCTAAGCTGTGCTGTAACATACTAAAGAGGCAGAGACACATGACCAACAGATTAACAACTCACAGATGTCATCAGTTATGTAACAGCTGCAAATCTTTATCCAAAAATCTGCTATTTTAACACTTTTTTGCTTATAAATCCAATTATACGGAACATATAACAAACGTTGGGATGTTTTAGGAATCAGTGAAATATTCTCTATAGTTCGGCTTAAAATGCATCATCTCATAAGCTTTCATTGAATTGCAGCAAATTCTGAAATGGACACAATTATGTAAAACAGATTATCCACTAGCCCAAGGCAGTACTAAAATACCCAAATACCAGCAGATGGCGGCATGTCAAATGAAATTATGCTTTCTAATTATTTATAAAATGTCTTAAATTGATTGTATTCACTAAGTTATTGGGATTACTTACCAGGTGGGCAAAGGCAATATGGCTCTTTTAGGACAGGAAATTGACAAAAAGTCCAGTGGTACCTTTCTTGGAGGTGTTAAATACGTTATAAAAGCTGCTACATGTTGCATTGTAAATTAACGTGTGATTTTGTCTTCCTCCATCAGATTTGGCCATTACTTTGAGACGCTGCTGCTGTGGCAGAGCATCATCATGATCTTCACCATGCTCATCATGCTGAACCTGTGCACAAACGTCCGCACGGCCACTGAACTCAGCACCAAGAGACGCTCCTTCATAGGTCAGTAACCTCTGCACACCAGATAAAACCCAGTTATCTTTGTTTTCTGTGTGAGGAAGTGTGTGTGTGTGTGTGCTTTAAAGTGACTCTTTGAATGTTAAGAAGTATAATTTATTTAATCTCACCCCCTTGTCCCTAAATGATTTATTTATAATCTATAATCTCCAATAATTATCATTATTATTAATTATTATTGTTGTTATTATTATTAATCTGATTTACCTGTTGATTGACATATATACATATACACATATGTACATATACTACATATGTACATACACACTAATACACATATATGCACATATACTTATAAACACCTACATACTCACACATATATAAATGTATATTTAAAAGGTATTACACAGTGTTTTCTAAAGGAGAAAAACGAATCCACTGACGTTTAATTTAACGGACTTATTTTGGCGTAGCGGACTGCTATCGAGAAATAACAGACTGCTCAATGTACCAATCAGAGAGTGTGTGTGTGTGTGTGTGTGTGTGTGTGTGTGTGTGTGTATTCTTAAAGTTACTTTTTGGAAAGTGGAGAGTTTGCACAGAAGGAACAACTCCAACATGTTTTAACAACTCCTTTTTAAACTTGATAAATAATCACTTCTTCTGCTGTTCCCTCTAGTGTTTACCTCCTGTCTTCTTCTGCTGTTCCCTCTAGTGTTTACCTCCTGCCTGTCTTCTTCTGCTGTTCCCTCTAGTGTTTACCTCCTGCCTGTCTTCTTCTGCTGTTCCCTCTAGTGTTTACCTCCTGCCTGTCTTCTTCTGCTGTTCCCTCTAGTGTTTACATCCTGCCTGTCTTCTTCTGCTGTTCCCTCTAGTGTTTACCTCCTGCCTGTCTTCTTCTGCTGTTCCCTCTAGTGTTTACCTCCTGCCTGTCTTCTTCTGCTGTTCCCTCTAGTGTTTACCTCCTGCCTGTCTTCTTCTGCTGTTCCCTCTAGTGTTTACCTCCTGCCTGTCTTCTTCTGCTGTTCCCTCTAGTGTTTACCTCCTGCCTGTCTTCTTCTGCTGTTCCCTCTAGTGTTTACCTCCTGCCTGTCTTCTTCTGCTGTTCCCTCTAGTGTTTACCTCCTGCCTGTCTTCTTCTGCTGTTCCCTCTAGTGTTTACCTCCTGCCTGTCTTCTTCTGCTGTTCCCTCTAGTGTTTACATCCTGCCTGTCTTCTTCTGCTGTTCCCTCTAGTGTTTACCTCCTGCCTGTCTTCTTCTGCTGTTCCCTCTAGTGTTTACCTCCTGCCTGTCTTCTTCTGCTGTTCCCTCTAGTGTTTACCTCCTGCCTGTCTTCTTCTGCTGTTCCCTCTAGTGTTTACCTCGTGCCTGTCTTCTTCTGCTGTTCCCTCTAGTGTTTACCTCCTGCCTGTCTTCTTCTGCTGTTCCCTTAAGTGTTTACTTCCTGTTTTTTATTAAATTTGATAAATGATTCCACCCCAAAAACTGTTACTTAGCTAAAACTTAAAAAAAAAAATTCAAGCATTATTTGTTGGCGTTAGTTAAACTTACTGTAGAGCTTCTTAGTCGTTATTTAAATATCTGGAAGCTAAATATTTGTCAAATCTAACTTACAGACTTAGACAAACATATGTATTTGTTACAGTTCCTCTTAGAAACTCTCAGCATGATCATTTAAATACATTTTTCAATGCTAATGTTGCAAAAATGATCGATCCCTGCTGTATCATAATGGCAATATTAGTCAAAATGATCTTTTATTTTTCTCCCAATTCACATCACGGGTCTCCTCTGGCTTGTCTGACAAAATGAAGACGGTTCTTCTTTCTCTTTCCCTCTTTCCCTCTTTTTGTTTCTTGTCTTATTTCCTTTATTTGTTGTCTGTAGCTACAGACAGTAAGGACGAGGAGATCAGAATCCCTAAGAGGCTTTTTGTGGGTACGTACAGATTTGACTGTCTGCCATGAAACATCAGCTGTAGTTCATCTCCCTCCATCTGTGTGTCCAACATTAGCATGATGAGCATTAGCATGATGAGCATTAGCATGATGAGCATTAGCATAGCATTAGCATGATGAGGATTAGCATGATGAGCATTAGCGTGATGAGCATTAGCATGATGAGCATTAGCATAGCATTAGCATGATGAGCTTTAGCGTGATGAGCATTAGCGTGATGAGCATTAGCATGATGAGCATTAGCATAGCATTAGCATGATGAGCTTTAGCATAGCATTAGCATGATGAGCTTTAGCGTGATGAGCATTAGCGTGATGAGCATTAGCATAGCATTAGCGTGATGAGCTTTAGCATAGCATTAGCATGATGAGCTTTAGCGTGATGAGCATTAGCATAGCATTAGCGTGATGAGCTTTAGCATAGCATTAGCATGATGAGCTTTAGCATGATGAGCATTAGCGTGATGAGCATTAGCATGATGAGCATTAGCATGATGCACTTTAGCATGATGAGCATTATCATGATGATCATTAGCATGATGAGCATTAGCATGATGAGCTTTAGCATGAGTAGCATTAGCATGATGAGCTTTAGCACGATGAGCATTAGCATGATGAGCATTAGCATGATGAGCATTAGCACGATGAGCATTAGCACGATGAGCATTAGCATGATGAGCATTAGCATGATGAGCTTTAGCATGATGAACATTATCACGATGAGCATTAGCACGATGAGCATTAGCATGATGAGCTTTAGCACGATGAGCATTAGCACGATGAGCTTTAGCATGATGAGCATTAGCACGATGACTAACTCCATTATTTCTCACGCATGTCGTCCTGCTGCTTCATCCATGTTTTCTTTTACTATTAGAGAATATTTCATCTCCTTCCTTTTATGCTGCGATGATTTCAATGCATGTTACATTTCACACCATCAGTGCAAATGTAACAGCATTACAGGGCCATTGTGGGAATATTTTCTTTTACAGAGACGGGTCAAATGAAAGGACAACAATTTGAGAATATTCAAAGATTATTCGATTTTCTTTTTTTATTTCCAGGAAAAAACTTTTGGAAAATGTAGAGAGATTAAGAGATTTCATTTATACATTTAAGAGGAATACAATTCACTCCCAAAATGTAGTTTTCCCCCTCTATATTTGGCCACTTAATCTTAGATACATGGTGATACATTTGGTAATATTCAGAGATTAAAACGTAATGCAAAGAGAACAACTATTTGTACAATTTAGAGAACATTCTTTACCATCATTTTGTTAATTTTTCATATATAAGTCTATTAAATCTTAGATAAATGGTTAACAATTTGGTAATTTTCACTTTTAGATGATAAAAGTGGACATTTGAGAGAAAAACGTTCCCTTTTTTCCTATCATTTTACAATTATTTTTGTCATTTTTGCTACTTTAATCTGAGAGAATATCAACGTTTTCTTTGTAATATGTATAGTTTTCTTTTTTTTTTACCCACAATGGCCATAATATAGCATGGTATAACATGAAAGATCAGCCTTCATTAAGAAAACATGTGTGGACTTCATATTTGCATGTGTTGCTTGTGCTTGAATCTATAATTTATATGAAACTCCAGCTATGGAACAAATCAGAAGCTCATTATTCTGACTGCAGATAGTTTCTAGTTCTCATGGATTTAACTTTAACTAACCTGTTTTTGAAGCATTTTAATGACATCTTCTAACGCTATGCTTTTAGTCTTTGCCGTTTGAAATGATGATTGATATCTCTAGAGCAGGGGTGTCAAACCCAAGGCCCGGGGGCCAAATCCGGCCAGCGACTTCATTTAATGCGGCCCCACAAGAGCTCTGAAAGAATATAATACGTTTATTATACGGTTACATGCCGATTTACAGAAGCATGTTGCCCATAAACTACATGTCCCACAATGCATCTCAAATTAGATTTTTTTTTTTCAGATTTTTTTTTTTTCAGAATTTGACTTTTCTTTCTTCAAAATGTCACTTTCTTTTTACATTTTCACTTTTTTTCCAGAATTTGGCTTTTAAAAAAAACCAAATCATTTTGTGACATTTTCACTGAAGAGACTTCCAATGATTTGCCCTAGATTTCTGCTTTCAGACGTAGTTAATTATGAAGTTATTACCCTATCCGATAATGATCCAATGCAGAGGCAATAATGTCCTATAATACATACGTTTATATTAAATATTTACATATGTATTTTCATATAGTCTTAAAGTTACAACCGGCCCTTTGAGTGCAACCAAAATGCTGATGTGGCCCGTGATGAAATTGGAGTTTGACACCCCTGCCTTAATGGCTGACTTGTGACAGTTCATGTTGTCTTCTAACCAGCTTTTTAAAATGTGAACTACACTAGGTTTCAACACAATGCCCCTTTATGTAATGGGTATGTCAGTAAATCTTGCTGGGTGTATCATGCGGAAACAGCTGCAGTTTAAACAGGAGAGAGGTTGTTTTATCCACCAATAATTTGATTGTTTTGTAAGAATTATTGAGTTAAACGTATTTAATTCCTTGCATTATTAATATCTTTGAAGCTTTCGGGGGATACATTTGAAATTCTCTGCCCTGTTTTACAAATGTTAGACATCACATGAACACGATGATCGAAAAAATAAACACTTAATTGAAAAAAACTTGATGCACGAATGCTGCTAAATGGATATATCCCACAATGCAATGCACGCACAACTGCAAAAACCCTGAAACATAGCGCTTTTTTGTTTACGTTTAAGTGATGTTGGCACTCTAAAACAACAGTTTAATTGATGTACAGTGAAGTGTGCACTATGGAAGTAGGACACAGTATTGGTGAATAAAGGGCTGTAGTTCCTGAAATGGACACTAGATGACAGTATGAAACAGTATTTGTATGATGTGAGGAAGCACAGAGTACACTCAGCAGGTCATAATGTATTACAAACTCTCCTCTTGGGACTCACTAATGCACTCTCGGTTTCCTGGTATTGGATTCCTATTGTGTTCCCTTTTGTTGCATCATTTGCAGGAAAGTAGAATTCTGTGACTCACCCTGAGAGGAAAACAGGATATTGCCTTTTCTTTAGAGCACAGTTAAGTCTGTTTTGCCTGCATGTTGACGCTGGTTTTGCAGCGCCTCTATGAATGATCATCGATTAGTAAACTCTGTCAAGCATCAGTAGATAAACATTACGCCTTGTTCTGTGATCTCAGCTCTGCAAGGGGCAGCACAATTACTCAAAACTTTATTGAAATGGCAATACAGACGAGTGCATTACTCAAATACACTACATACTGATATACACCTGAACATCAGCAGGAGAGGACTCTTTAAAGTAGAGACACTACATACTGATATACACCTGAACATCAGCAGGAGAGGACTCTTTAAAGTAGAGACACTACATACTGATATACACCTGAACATCAGCAGGAGAGGACTCTTTAAAGTAGAGACACTACATACTGATATACACCTGAACATCAGCAGGAGAGGACTCTTTAAAGTAGAGACACTACATACTGATATACACCTGAACATCAGCAGGAGAGGACTCTTTAAAGTAGAGACACTACATACTGATATACACCTGAACATCAGCAGGAGAGGACTCTTTAAAGTAGAGACACTACATACTGATATACACCTGAACATCAGCAGGAGAGGACTCTTTAAAGTAGAGACACTACATACTGATATACACCTGAACATCAGCAGGAGAGGACTCTTTAAAGTAGAGACACTACATACTGATATACACCTGAACATCAGCAGGAGAGGACTCTTTAAAGTAGAGACACTACATACTGATATACACCTGAACATCAGCAGGAGAGGACTCTTTAAAGTAGAGACACTACATACTGATATACACCTGAACATCAGCAGGAGAGGACTCTTTAAAGTAGAGACACTACATACTGATATACACCTGAACATCAGCAGGAGAGGACTCTTTAAAGTAGAGACACTACATACTGATATACACCTGAACATCAGCAGGAGAGGACTCTTTAAAGTAGAGACACTACATACTGATATACACCTGAACATCAGCAGGAGAGGACTCTTTAAAGTAGAGACACTACATACTGATATACACCTGAACATCAGCAGGAGAGGACTCTTTAAAGTAGAGACACTACATACTGATATACACCTGAACATCAGCAGGAGAGGACTCTTTAAAGTAGAGACACTACATACTGATATACACCTGAACATCAGCAGGAGAGGACTCTTTAAAGTAGAGACACTACATACTGATATACACCTGAACATCAGCAGGAGAGGACTCTTTAAAGTAGAGACACTACATACTGATATACACCTGAACATCAGCAGGAGAGGACTCTTTAAAGTAGAGACACTACATACTGATATACACCTGAACATCAGCAGGAGAGCACTCTTTAAAGTAGAGACACTACATACTGATATACACCTGAACATCAGCAGCAGAGGACTCTTTAAAGTAGAGACACTACATACTGATATACACCTAAAAATGAGCATTATATATCCTCTTTAAAGAGAGCTAACATTATATATCCACAGCTCCATGTCCCTTTCTGTTCTGAAGTGACTCACCATAGTGTAATATCGTCAGCAGGGCACATTCTCAACCTGTACGTTTCTCTTATTGTTCAGCCTGTTCCCTTTATGTTCTCTATCACAGTACATATTCGTTCTCACAGCATCATTATCTCCACATGCACTTCCATCAAGCAGCGGGACGTCTGCATTCGGGAAGGGAGACAAAGTGCAGCTCACTTTTAATGGAACTTCCTGTCATGGCTTTTTTTTAACGTAGATATGGCACCAGGTGGAGAGACATGGTGCTTTTTATACTGTGACATTTGGTATCTGAGATAACGTCATGTAAGTGAAGTTCAGTGGATCCCTGTGGTGCTTCTACCTCAACTGTACAGTTTGTTCTTTGTTGTAGGATGGGTAGTTTTGAGATGGGAGA